CCCACTCCATCACACTTTCTTTGTGAGAAATCAAATAGCTCCCATGACCCCAAACTATAAATCACAGCTTTGTGGAACTCCATAAAGGCTTCTCTCATACCTCCGACACAAAGAGACAAAGATTGCCACATAAAAGTTTCCTTCCGCCCAACAAGAGCCATGGTTTTATAACCATAATTATTAAGAACCAAGGAGAGATATAAAAAAAAGGAAGTTGGGATCCCTTTGTAAGATACTTTTCTAAGCCCATTGATACTTCAGGCCTTCTGGGTATTTGACAAGGGAAGGAAAGATAAAAAGAACTTGACAGCCAGTCTTTTTGTACATCCTTTGTTGCTTTGACGACGTTTTATTGCTGCTACCTTTGTCATTGCCGGGGTCTTTGACAGGATTTGAGCATTGCCGTTTTAAGTTTTTCTTTGTTTTTGTATTGTTTTGTTTGTTTTTTTTCCTCTGTCGCTTCAGTTCTTGGTTTGTTTTTTCTCACAGTGCCTCTGTTTACAGATTTTGAATCTGCAAAACATGTGAATAACTTTCTATTTTTTTCTTCTTTGATTGAAGATTCACTCAAAAGACTGTCGATCCAAAAAACAAACAAATGAATAAAAATGAAAAAATATTGGGACGTGCCACTTACCCAGCATGCCGGTGAGCCAGATGGCCAGGTCCTCCTGCATGGGCACCAGGGTGGCCTCGTGGCGCACCGCCAGCCACTGGTCGTACTGGAAGACGTCGGCCAGGCCGGGGCCGTGGCGCTGGGCCAACGGGCTGCGGGGGCTCCGGGGGCTCAGCAGGGGCGCGTCGAACTTCTCGCCGAACCAAACCTGAGGACAGGGAGGCGGGAAATTACGGAATCAAAGCTGGGGATGAAATCAATTAAACAAAAGAAGATGTTTTGGGCCCTTAAAGCGCTGGCCGAGCCCACGCCTCAGTCTGTTCAAAGCCGGGGAAAACGAGACATGTTGGGTTTTTTTGGGGGGGGCGGATGATTAATGGATGCACGTCCAGAGTTATTGTCCCTGCCCGTTCCCTTAAAGGAGACACAATGACATCATCATCATTATCTAAACTCCAGAAGATTGGAAAGGATCGGTATACAGGAGTAAATCTGTGTTAAAACCAGTGGAATGCTCCTTTAATCCCACTACCGCTTTGCGTTATCCGATTGTTTAAGTGAAAAGTTTGTTTCTCAAAATGTGAAACCTTAACGTCTCCACTCTCAGAACTACGAACATGGCTGCCACAGTGACATTGGCGGACAAAAGAAGAGACATGGTGAGAACATTAGGAGCTACTGTTCCATAAGGAAACATCTTTTCTTTTTTTTTCTTTTTTAAACGGGGGGACTATGTAGCCAAAACATCCTGACGTGTGTTCTCCTGTTGGCATTCAGCCGGTCAGAGAAAAACAACGGCGACACAATGAGACGTTCAGCTGCCCCGTCACAAGACGCTCAGCAGATTAGCCAATCCGCCCCGACGGTGGGAATCAGAGGGCTGTGCCCCGGCTCCCAGCGAAGGCTCCCTTCCCCAAAAGGGTCGGAAACCTACAAATAGGGGCAATCTCAGATAATCTTCCCTTCCCTTGCGCCACCTCTGCCCCGGGTTCAGGAATGTGGCCGTGTGATCGCGCAAAGAAATGCAAAATACTGAGATTTGAGGGGTTTTTTAACGTTTTTGCACATGTAACCTTTTAGCCCTTTCTGATGCTCTTAACTTGAGCCACTTAGGTGAGTAAAGACCCCCCCCCGGTCATCTGGGTCACATTTACAATCATTCAATTCCTAGTTTATACAAAAATGACCATTACATGCATTTCCAATTACCTCGGACATCTTTGTTGTTTTCTAAAATGACTCATTGTCTATTTTATCTGTTTGTTTAAATATCAAATCATTGTAAATATTTAACATTTGAGCCAAGGCACAATCTAGATCCCCCAATCAGGTATAAATAGAAGATTTTTCGATTCTGTGAAGTGGTACTATACTATCCTGTGTACTATACTGTGAAGTGGTATTATACTCGTTTTCCAATGCTTAGAGCAGTCGGAATGAATAAACAACACCACAATCAAACAGCCCAGATCCATAGATCAGCAGAGCTGCGGCCGTCCCCTTTTGCCGATTGCCTCAACCGACATATTCTCCAAGTCACTTTCCGTGGAAGAGCAGCCAAAAATTCCATGCCCTGACTTTAGAAAGAGACAATCCGGAAGTGCGTGAACGCGTCTCGAATCTATTGGAACATCTGACTGGTAGCAGGCGGTGTTTTTCCGTCTTCCTGGTGAGAGACGGCAGATTTCGTTTTCCGGTGGCCTTCAGCACGGGGGGGGGGGGATGGCTGTGGCCTTAGTCCGCAGCGTCACAGCAGCCTGACCAGGATCAATTCCCTCGTATGGGTGCCTTAGATTACCCTCCCCACCACCACATGTAAAACAAAATAAATGCACCCACATCAATGCGGCCATATTTGACTGTGTCCTTTTTAGCTTTTGGAGCCAAAAACTGTTTTCCAGCTGTTGTTTAGTCCAGAGACGCCCTCGGTTACATAAGCTCAGCAGCTCGGGGCTGGGGGGGGGACTTCCCTTCAGAAAACCGAGGTTTCCCGCCTCGGCTCATCCCGACACATTCTGAACATCCACATTCCGAGACGGGCGGGGACGACCGGACGAGTGGAAAACCGTTTTCTTTCCCTCTCGTTCTCTCTCTCCCTCTCTCTCTTTCTGCGAGGGTGTAGCCATGCAACCCGTTTTGTAACACGATACATTTGTTGTTCTGCCTTTTGGGATGGCTGACACTTTGTTGCTGGGAGGGGGAAAGAAAAAGGGAAAAGAAAACACCTGCAACACTAAAAAGACAATAAAGAGGGGGAGCTGCGCATGCCGTTCAGAACACAGACGGGTCTGGACCCGTTTACCGGCCAAAAGAAGAGTCCACCACACACCTGGATGCCGGTCTGGACCGCCATGACTCCCGCTGGCCAGAGAATCACTTCTTCATCCTGTGGGGAAAAAAGGAGACAAATGAGACATTTAGAACAGAAAATTGAAGGCTGGTGATGTTGATTTTTGCAACCAGTCAAACAGTAGTTGGGTTTGGAGGAATTTCTCTCAACAACAAGATAAAAGGGAGGCATCAGTGTGAAATGTAAACACTGACCAGGTTTCAAGCACAGACACTGGTCTAAGAAAGCCGTCTGCCCATGATCAGGAAACTGGCACACAAAAAAAAGAGAGAAACTAAATCTGGCTGCAGCAGTCTGCTTCTGAGACCGTCCCGCTCGTCTTTCCTGTCCCACACGGCCACCTTCCCATTGGTCCAGAGCCTCCGCCCGGAGTTTGCCGGGGTGTTCCGGTGTCGTTTTCCCCCCCGTTCGTCTTTGGAGCCTCTTTGCAGACCGTCCAACGCGCAACAAAAGTTCAATTGTTGGCCATTTATTTCCTCACGCTGCACTGGGCGCCCATTCATTCTTTGGCTTAACGTCTAATCCTCTAACCCCAATCGGGTTTATTGACCAAGCATTTTTACCTACAAGTGGTTTGACGCCACTGCAACGGATACATAGAAGTAAGACAAAAAATTAAAGATCAAAGCTGGACTTTCTTAACCAGAAAGCACTCACCTGTAAGGCTGAGTGTGCTCCATCCAAGTGGAGCACATATTTGTTAGACATAAAGCAAGTTGCCACCACCACAAACATCTTTGTCCGAGGGATGCAATGTTGTCGTTGTTTTTGCCATTTTCACCTAATCCAGTCCCATTTAGGGGAATGGAATCTGTCTTATCCAATTATCCTAAATTCTAAAAGCACCACATTTAACATTCTATTAGACAGAATGCAGCTGTAACTGACCAGTTTAGGAGATAATGATAAAACTTTATTTAAGTTTAAGTTAATTAAAGCAGTTCCTACAGCTTTGAACTTGACGTCAAGTTGCCTAAACTCAACTTTTTCAAGCTTTTTATATACACACACACACATATATATAAGATCATTATTTTATCTTGTGATCTGGAAAGAGGTTAAAACTGTTGTTCAATAAGCTGCAGCCCCCCCCCCAGTGCCCAGAGTGGATCCTGGGACCAGACAGCCGTGAGAAAAACCTGAGAATGACCCGCACGCTGACTCAGCGCAGCAGACCGGCCAGCTCCGCTCGGGGACATGCCCCGGTTATCAAATCAGTCCTTTAAACCAATTGCAGACATAAAGCTCCCCTTTCTCCGTCCTCCTCGGTTCCAATCAACAACCCCCCCCCCCCCCAAACAACAAATCGCTCATCCATCATCGACTGGAGAATTTGTGCGTAATCAAGTTCCAAACATATCGTGTAGACGTTACCCCCCCCAAAAAAAAATCTGGACAAACGTGGATGACGGGCGTGGAGAATGGAATCGGCTCACGTGGCAGCAGACAGCCCGGTTTGTTGTTTTTAGGTTTTGCTGGAAGTGGCGAGTCTCAGCAAACCAAACTTTCTCACGAGGAAGCGATAGGGGGGGGGAAATCTCAGAGCTAATGCCCCCCCCCCACCACCCCCCTCCTCCTCCTCTGCATACAGGATGTCTGGGATTACCCCGAACCTCAAGTGTCCCCGAGGGCGTGCGTTTGACAAAGAAAAAGCGGCGGTGTGAGGAGGGGGGGGGGAAGCAATCACAGGCACATCCTAATAACTGATTTGGTCAACACAGCTGAGGCAATAGTCCCCCCCCACCACCACCACCACCACCCCCCAGTCTATCCCCCACACAAACACACACACACATCTGTATTAGGTCATAGCAAAATAAAGATAAAGAAAAAGAGGTTTTAGCTCTAAATGTACTTTTTAAATGTTCTTGGGTTTCTCCACTGACCTCATCCAAAAATAAAGTTCAAAAACAACAAACAGAAACCCAACAACGAGGGTCCCACTGATGGTTCTTCGACGGCCCGCCTTGGAGAGCTGCAGCCAGTTACCCGACACCCAAAACCGGAGCCCAGGGGACAGTCGGTGGCCAAGGTCGGGACGGCGCCGAGAGGGGGGGGGGAAACGGATGACACAAGACGAAGACAAACTCACCTCTGAGCAAAACCCAACGGCCAGGAGGGGGGAAAGAACACAAACTCCGATCAGCCTCTGAAGCACATCCCGGTCGGCGGCGAGCCGGGAGCCTGCGGTGTGTGTGGCTGCACTCGGCCAGAGCAGCTCCTGCCTCTGCGCTCCGGCGAGGGGGGGGGCGGAGGGAGGGAGGGAGGGAATATGGATGGACGGGAGGAGGTGCAAAGAGGAGAGCCCTGACTAATGAAGTGGCTACGCTTCACTAAGCTCTGACCCCCCCCTCAAACAATCCTATCACAGTGGGACCCTCTCACAAAGCGACCATTGTTTTGTTAGCTCGCCACACACACACACACACACACACACACACACACATCTCCAAGGCAGGAGCAAAACCGGGAATGCCGTGACCCGAACTAAATGAAATGGACTGGGAAGAGACGGAGGAGGTGTCGGTTCTACCTCCACTTCCTTTTTCTGACCCATCCATCACAGGCCCCTTAACCCCCCCACACACCAAATAAAACTACCCGTTCCTCTGATTTCCACCAGGCTGCCCTAAAGCAAACCGTCCAGAGACGGAGGACGGACGGAGGGACTGGAACCCGGTTTGAGGGTCAGAGTCGGTGGAAACGACATTTTGATCTCCAGAGAGAAGAACGTGCGTTGGCGGGGGGGGCAAAAAGGGCAAACATCTGGCTCTGAGCTCCAGTTGTGTGCATCTGAGCGCCGCTTCCTGCTACCAAAAGGCCCCCACACGCTGTCAAATGTCGAGCAGAAGCCGAGCCAAAGGACAGGGGAGGCGAGGACAAAAGTCTCTTTATGGGGCTGAAGTACCTCAGAGAGGCGAGATGCAGAGGGCAGTGGCGTGGAGCTCCACCACGCACATTCTCCGAGGGTCATTTGGGGAAAAAAAAAAAAGAAAGTTTCACAATGCTGGTGTCTGTCTGTCCCCCCTTTGAAGAGTTGCCCCCCCCCCCCCACAGCACTCTCCCCTCCGCGGCCGGGGTTAATAGCTGTAGTTGAGCAAAAAAAAAGAAAAATCTGAGTCAACCGGTCAGGCCTGGTTGGGGATTGGGTCAGGTTAAGCAAATCGTAGGCGACCACCAGCCGGGGTTAATGATAAGGCCTTCCTCGGATTTAGATAAAGACAAATAGACAAGCGCTGCCCGCGGTGCCCCTTTCCCACGTCGCCTTTTCCAATTGTGACCGATCCCAGGCTTTAGTGGACTTTTTCCCTTTTGAACTTAATTTTTATTTACATTTTTACAACTTATATAAACATATACAAACAAGCCCACATTTAGTCTGCTGCTCTTCATTTACAATATACTTTAAAACTTTAAAACTATGTGCATCAGATTAAATTTACAAGTAAATAAATGGTAGATTAACAAGCAACGACGAGGTAAAGAGTAACTCCCAAACTGACATCCAGGTCCAACAACTAGACTGCGGTGTCCCTCGCTGTTGTGTCGCACGCAAATGACATCACAGACCTTCAAGCCGCCCTGCTGTAAGGACCCAAGGCTACAGTAAAGATTGTTGTAATAATGGACATCGACCTAAACCGAGCCAAGTCGAGTCGGTACTAGTGGTACAGGACCATTCTACCGATGGGGGCTTTTTCCTCAACTTATGAGTGAATGAACACAAGTCAAAATAGTTGCATTTAAAAACAAACCAAAAACAACAACATTGTTCGTTTTGTGTAGCGGAACCAGAGGAGTGACACACGACCCCCAAAAGGCATCACCCATTTAAGGTCTGAGCAACTCTGCTTAACTTGGCTGTCGGAGTTTTTGAGGGGATCATTTCACTTAAACACGGACATAACTTTAGGATATTACCGAGAACGTCATAGCAAAGGAATTTAGAAGTTGTTTTATTAAGACAGTGTAGTCGGCAAGCAGGGATTGTAGAAGCAAGTGGATAGAATTGGCTTTGTTTAAAAAAGATATCCACTGACAAGCTCTTCTCATTTTTTTCCCTTTTAAATTTAAAGGGAAGGCTAAAGGGTTCCAGCTCTAGACTCCATGCTTCCACCAGAGGAAGCCATGATAACAGGGCCCCACACACTGCCCCTTCCCTTACCCAGTTGCCTCCATTACTGACAGCTAATATCAATGGACCAAGTCGGAAAGCCCGCATGATGATACGTCCTGGGGTCCATCTGAAAAGCCGCATTACCCCATGTCAAAAACTGAAAACTGACCACTAAAAACCGCAGGGT